CCACCCCAACCCCAACCCCAGCCCCGGCCTGCGGGGCAGTGAGGGCGCTGGGGTCAGGGCCGCAGACCTCCAGGAGAAGGGAAAGGAAGGTGCTGGCTTCAGGGAACCGCCAAGCTGCACCCTGAGCCCAGCGCCGGCGCTTTCCCGCTCAGGCTCGTTTTGCTGGGTCCTGGCCCCCGGCCCTAGTTCCGTGATTCCCTGGCTCGGTTTCCTTCACCAGGCCACCGCCGCACTGGGGGCGCAGGTCTGGGCCCAGGGGGCCCCAGGCGCCCCGGAGGCCCCACGTTTCCTGCCTGGTAATAGCGATGGGTGCAGGGGTCCAGCATTTGCATCCTAGACGCTGACCTGGGGAATAAGGATACCTCGTCCCCAGATAACGACGAGAACTCACCATTCCCAGACAGCCCCTTTGACTGCCGTTTGTTCCCAGCGGCTATGCTGACATCCCAGGTCAAGCGTTAGCATCTCAGGAGAGCACCCTCTGCCATCCTACTTTGAGAACTGAGAACCACCTACCCATGGGTGGACCACTCTTCATGCACTGGGGCTCCAGGTGCACTTGGGGGCTGAAACAATGTGTCCATAGCTTGAAGTCGGTGGCACCAGAGGTTACAAACACCAATGTGGGTCCCTGCTTTCCATCTCTCCTCACTCCACTCCAGTGGTTTGGTTCCAGTTTGTGGAGCATCAGGCGTCTGTTCCCAAAGGGGCAAAGCATAGTGAGTGAGCAAGAAGAAGAGATGTCAGCGTCACTTATAATGAGGTCATTTCAGTTATCGGGAACCTGGAAGACAGGATTTTGTTTCTGGGGTGATTTTCGTGGCTCTCTTCAAGGCTTGCTCCATATATAGCCTTCTTCTCATGAGACTGTTTCTTCTCTTCTTCCTTTGTGCCACGGGCAGGGACTAGGCTGGGTGCCAGCCTGAGATGGGACATTGATTAGTAGCCTGGGACCTGGACATTTGGAAAGTCATAGACCAGACTGCAACTCTCTTGATCTGGCTCCCACAAATGATCTTAATATAGGACTCCTTTTTCTCACTTGCATTTACTAGCAGTCAGGTCTTGCTTTTATTTTAAGGATGGTAGGAGGGAAATATTTTAGTAAAACATCCGATGTGTTTTCTTGGTGCTGTACTAATTACTACCAGCAGAGGTTTTCACTGTAGCCCCCACATTTTGTACCCCCACGGTAGGGTTTAGCAATAAAGGGCTGTCTGTTGTCCAGCAGAAAAAGCAGATTAATAGACATTAATAGAGCCTTCCAGAACAGCCATTAAACAGCAACTCACCATAATTGAATAGCAAATGCTCTACCTTCTAATTTCACTCACCAGGTGATAAGTTGATTTTGCAGTTGATAATTTAACTTCTATCACATAAAAATGTCATTCGGCTGAGTCAACTTTCTTGCAAATATGAACAACACTGGGCTGATGAGAAGGAAAGTAATGTTTACCACTATATCAGAAGAGTGAGGCCCACTTAGAGCCTATTATTTCTACGTGGACATCGTATCATGGCTGACGGCCTGGGTGGGTGCTGTTTCTCACCACATTCTAGCCACGTGGCAATACCCACCTCATCATTTCTCAAGCCTCATCTCTAAAATGCACCTAACACATATGGTGGTTGTGAAGAATAAATGACATAATACGTGTAAATTGTTTGGCATAATGCCTGGCATATAGTAAGTGCTCAATAAATGTTGTCTTTGATGACTGCCAAGAAACCAATCTATAATGTAGCACATAGTCATTTGATAGTGATGGACCCCCGGCTGGCAAGTATTGCGCTGAATGGAAAATGTTGGCTGCAGTATGCCAGTTTCTTCCTTTTAATTAATCAGAATAAGACATTTCTCAAAGAATAAGTTGTGTCTTGCCTGAGATGAGTTTCACTTCTAGCAACAGCAATATTTCAGCTCCTCTCCCTTCTTCTCTGCATCGAGATGACTTTATACTCAGAAAAGAACTCAATTAGTTCAAGTTAAACATAATGCAATAAGTTGACTGTAATTTTGAAGTCCGATCCTAAAATGTCATATCTTTATTTCTTTAAAGACTTAGACATAAAGCATGCCACCAATAAAGATAACTTTGGAGTGTATCTAAATGAACAGAGCGGTATATTCCATGAGCATCCCATCCATAGTTGAGTGTGGATAACGATAAAGATCAAAACCTGGGCGTGTGTGTCCACAAGCACATATATAATATGACTATTTGCGTTTTCTGACTGGATTCCTGGGTTCAGGTTCACTGCCCTTTATGCTTAGCTGTTATAATCCAGGAGTGCCCTCTACTGAGCTTCTTGTATAATAGATGAAGGCTTCTACAGAGGCAAATTTACCGAGTGCCTAGTACATGTTCAATCCACATTTACTGAATGACTGAATGGATGGATAAGCGACTCCCTATCCTGGGTCTCTGTCTGGAGATGTGGGACCTGATTTCTTACAGCCACGCTTGTTCAGCTGAGAAAGTGTTTCTGTTTGGGGCTCAGAGCTGTGGGCAGGTGGGTGGGGGTGGGACGTCAATTCACAGATGCAGGCTTGGGTCTTGCCTGTGAGGTCCGTGCAGAACATGAGGGGTGATTTTCCAGGAGAGGGGACCAGGAGCCTGGCAGAACGTAAAGGGGTTATACCAGAAAAGACCAATTCAAAGAATCATAAATGGATAGAAGAGAGAGGAAATCAGCATCCAGGAAACCCAGCTGAGATTAGAGATGGGAAGAAATCAATTTTTACGTTGAATGCAGTGGGCAGGCATGGCAACCATAAATGGACATGGGAGCAGAAATCAAGAAGGAAGGAGGCCAGCTGAACAGAGAAAGCAAGGAGGCCTGAAGCCGCCAGAACCAGGTGGTCTAGAACTGAAGTTCTTTGTCTGGTGGGAGTGTTTCCTTAAGGAAGGCCCCACCCACACTCCTAGAAGTCCTGGGGAGCACCAGACCGAAATGTCTCCCTCACTGGAGAGTCAGCTCTCTGCATTCAGGGTGACATGCCAGCCTTGGGCTACACATGGAAGGGACTAAAAGGCACTGGGTCCAAAGGGAGTTCAGTGGATGCGGCAGATTTGGGTGGAGACAGATATGAATCTCTGATGCTTGTGGCCTTTTGCTTCATTCAAGTGGACCAAAACCTGGAAAAAAATTGGATTCACTATGCTATTGTCCATTCAAGTTCATGGTTTTAATGCAAAAAAACAAAACAAAACAAAACAACCCAAAACAGTTCAGAGTGCCTTATTTTCGAATTTTGTGAAGCAACAAGGCTGAAACAATTGAGGTTCTCACTTTCCCAACTACCACTACTAGTAGGATCATTTTGTAGTTGTCATTGCTGTTTTAGGTAAAAAAAAAAAAAAAAAAAAGCTAAAAGATTTTTTCCCCCATTCAAATCTTCATTATCAATTGTCGGTCTCGATTACGAGCACAAGATAGGTATGAAAATTTAGAAGTCATTATCTTTCCTATCAATATTATTTTCAGATAAGACTCTTGTATAAGATTGTTTTGGACCGCTCCTTAAAACTTAAATTTCATCTCTTAAGTGAACTTTATCAGGGACATTAAGACACCGCCCTTTGGAACTCCGAACTCAGGTCTACTAAAATGACAAAACAATTCGCCTACCAGTGCCAGCACCCTTTCAGTTGAAAGAGAAGAAAAAGCTTGGTATGCAAAAGTTATTTCTGATTCCTGTAATAATTCAATCACCATAATTAAATTTCTACTCTAAAAGCTACCGTGAAGAAAGAGAGAGAGAGAAAAAAAGGATAATAAATACCCATGATTAGAGAGCACTGTGCCATGAACCGAAAAGTATTTGATGGAAACAGATTACTTTAGTTTCTCCTTCTCCCTCCTCCCCAGGTGAACTGGGATGCCTATTATTTTCATTTAATTAAAACCTACTTGGCTGGACCCCAGAGAGGGAAACAATTGCACTTTTGTGCTTCTGTCGGGCCCTGTCTGCTCCCTTAACTGGGTAGCGGAGGACAGGATGTGTTGCCAGCGCCTCCTTTGTCTACTGTGCGGTCACTCGGGATGACTCTTCGTTTTAATACAACAGTTGGCTTCTTTTGGAACTATCCTCTATGCGAATATGGTCCAAGCATCTGAAGAGAGTTCTCAGCTCATGGCTGCTATTGTTACAGACATAGCCACTGAAGGTTATTATTTCCTCGTGAGTTATACTGTGCTTATGTAATCTAATACTTTGCTCCATCCATCATAGACAGCCCCTTTCACTTTCTGGCTTCTGCTTCCTCCGATCTCCTAAGTCTGCACT